AAATTTTTTTACGCATTCTGTGTTTCTATGACAACTGTTTTTTGCATTCCTGATTATTGTTATTCAGTGCCTTGGAAATTAATTGCAATCTAACTCCTGTAACAATTTAACACTTTTCCCAATTTAGCTACAGTTAAGTAGGATTTCCCTAGAATTATCTCCACCTAATCCTGTTTAAACACTGTTATATCCAATTCAATTTTCAGCTAATATTTACAAAGCCAATAAAATTTATTACTTTAACATAAATGTACAATTATTATTGCACTGTGACTACTTATTGCAGGGATACTTACCATGGAAACCAAAAACCATGAATAATAGCAAACTGTATTGAATTGGCTAAAACGTGCAGGAAGTTATCATAGAATTGCATTGGAAGATCTAGAAAATTCCTAGATAGGTATGTTTCCTAGACATTTGCTAAATCTTCCAACATGACTCCAGCAGAATAGTACCATAGAATTACCCAGAGGACCTAGGCAATCCCTAGAAATAGCATATTTGTTAGATGTGGGTAGGCAAAACTGTGGATACCAGTCCTGTAAGGGGTCATATTGTATTAATAGGAGGAGTACGCTATAACAGTCTATTTTACATAACTTTATGTAGAACTATTAAGCTATGCAGCAGAGGTGCTAAGAATGCTAATGAATTTTGCAGATGCATTTCAGGACACTTGCAAAGGCATGCTGATATGCATTAGGCTTTTCCGATGCACATTGGAGCTCCCCAGCAGCATACACATCATTTCTGTTTTGCTTGTCACATTGCTGGTTCCCCATATCAGGGGTCACCCATTTTTTTTTATGGAAGGACAATTATTGGGGGAGGGGGACTTTGTGTGTGTGTGCATGTGCTGTGAATACATTGAGTGTGTGTGTGTGTGATGTGTCGGGTGAGTCACATACACCTGTACTCGCCACCATCACTGTACAGCCACTCACATTAACTTGCCTTTTCCACTGCCACACACAAATACTTGCTGCCACCACTGCATGCATATATCCACTGATTGTGTAGCCATGCATGTGTGCACACGTGGACGTAAAGGTGAGGATTGGGGAAAAGGCCTTGGTGGGGGGGCAGATTTAGCCTGCGGGCCTTAGTTCGGGGATCCTTGTCCTATATAGTAATATCACAGCAACCTCTTAGTAATTACAGATGTTGTTGAACTGCTCAATTATATTTCCTGTAGACACAAAGATGAAAACAGGCATTATTGAATTCCAGCCATTATTATGATTTTCATGCTTTTAAGTCTTTATACAGAAAAAGAATAATTGTGTTTCTGAGATTAAAAATAACTATATGAACATTTATATTGCCTGTTAGATGATGATGGTACAGTTGTATAAATGCCAATTAATCTAAAGCTTGCGAGGCTGGGGAAAAAAATCACCTAACACAGGTGCAAGGAGGAAATAAGGCCCAGAAAGAAGAGCGGGAGCCTTGTATGACACTACATGCAAAATCAACCTTTCTCTGGACAATACAGTTTTGTTAGATATAGCAATTAGTGTGCCATGAATTAAGAAAGGTCTTGAAAGGATACTTTTCTTTCCTGGATATTATTGCCTTTCAAGCAAGTTTGATTTATTCCTCCCTTCCCCAGCCAGCACTGTATTGTTCTAATTACGTTGAAAGTACTACAGCTTATTTGATTCCAAATAATGTTCCTTGGCAACGGAACATTAAAACACATTAAAAATAATATCTTTAGATGGGCTGTGGCCATTAATACCTCAGCAAATTATCTTTAGTGCCAAAACAATCAGCAGATAATTTCCAACTAGTAGAACAGTATTGGAGGGTTTTTTCTAAACACCTTTAATGTTGTAATTTGTTCTGTTATTGAATGAAGTGCGAAAAAATCATAATGGGGTGTAAAGATGCAGAAGCGACTTTGATAAGTTAACAGGCTACAGATGTTGAAGCTGATCCACTGAAATCTATCTGCTTCAATTTGTCAAATGCTGGAAAATTATTTTAAAGATGAGTGATTATAACAATGTGGCAACAATCTCACTGCCTGAGAAAAACAGTTGATTCCTGATGTCATTTCAATGGCAGGAAAAGATCTTTTTATTTAGGAAGATGTTTGGTTTTTCATTTGTTGTGGTAGAAGGAGCTTTCAATGGGGTATTCTTATTTCCAGTTTTTAATATGCCTTTATCTGTGTTTTTAAAATAGAAGTAATATTTGTCATTGTTTGTAATTTTATTTTTATACTAAGATTTTTTTTTTTAGTTGTACAGGCATACCTCGGTTAACAAAGCCTCTGTCAAAGAAAGCTCCTATTTACAAAGTCTTTTTAGAGGATCCAGTCCAGCTTCCACTTTTCTCATCTTCTACTTAGCTAAAACGTTGCTGGTATTCTTTTGTTTTGTTTTGCAGCATTGGCATTGGGAGAATGGTAGGAGCTGGAGAAAAACAGTGTTGGTTTGCAGCAACATGGCTGCAGTATTTTGGACTATTGGCTTAAAGAAAATTTGATGCTATGATTTTAAGAAGATTTTTTTAAAAATAAAATGATGAACAGAGGGTACCCGAACCCAGCAAAACTAGCTAAAATGTATAAGGGAAGAAACAAGTGCTGGAAACATAAAGAACAGGAAGGAACTTTCTTCCACATGTGGTGGACCTGTAAAAAGTAGAGAATTCTGGCACAAGGTACACACAAAAAAACCTGTAATTTTTTTTTCATTCAAAGATAAAAATGGAGCCCAAATTATTTTTGTTGGGAATGTCAAATCAAACAAAATAATTAAACTACAAAGTATTGCACTACATAATAATAGCAGCAAGAACAATATATGCACAGTTTTGAAAGAAGACAGATCTCCCAACAATAGAACAATAGGTGGTTAAAGTCTTTACAATATGAGAAATGGACAATTTAGCAACGAAGAAACAAATTAAAAGCACCAAAAAAACCTTTCCAAGGACTGGGAACTATTTCTAAACTATGTAACAAAAAAGATGGAAGGATTTTTTTTTATAGAAGGCTTCATAATTTAAACTGTTAGAATTTTTGCAGGGAATTTATAAATCTTTATAAATAAAAATGTAATGTTCATTTGTGGGATTAATATCTCTCAAAGACTACTGGACCAATTGACACCAAATTTGGACACAATACACGTATCAGGCCAAAAAGTGACCATCACTCTTAAACACACCGAAAAACACAGCAGAAAAGACTTAAAAAGCCAAAAAAAAAATACATTACAACACATGCACAATACTATATATATATATATATATATATATATATATATATATGCAAACACACATATATACACATATACACACACAAAACACATATACACAGACTAGGTCAGAGTAACGCATGGCAGGGTACGGTTTTCCCCATGTTCTCAAATAATATGCTGTGCCCAGGTTGGTTCATCTGGTGTTCTGCTATGGCTGACCTCTCTGGCTGAGTTAGTCTGTGATGCCCTTCATGTTCCTTGCTTTGTGTCTGGGTGGCATCTGGTGGTCCCTGTGTAGACTTGTCCACAGCTGCATGGAATACGGTAGACTCCTGCAGAGGTGAGAGGATCCCCCTGGTCCTTGCTGAACGTAGCAATGGAGCACTGTTCTACATGAAATACTTCCCTTTGCAGGTTTTTATGGGGGTTTGTTGTTTGCATTAAGTGGCTGGAGCCCCCGGTGGCACAGTGGGTTAAACCGCTGAACTGCTAAACTTGCTGACTGAAAGATCACCAGTTTGAATCTGGGGAGCAAGGTGAGCCCCTGCTGTTAGCCCCAGCTTCTGCCAACCTAGCAGTTTGAAAACATGCAAATGTGAGTAGATCAATAGGTACTGCTCCGGCGAGAAGGTAAGGGCGCTCCATGCAGTCATTACCTTAGAGGTTTCTATGGACAACAACACATCTTTGGCTTAGAAATGGAGATGAGCACGAACCTCCAGAGTTGGATACGACCAGACTTAATGTCAGGGGAAAACTTTTAACTTACTATTAAATGGCCAGTGTAAATGGAGCCCTAATTAAATCCAACTGGTTGGCATTTTAAAAGAGGCAGGTTGTTGTAACACTGACAGCAGATCATCTCATAGAATCATAGAGTTGGAAGAGACCTCCTGGGCCATCCAGTCCAACCCCCTGCCAAGAAGAAGGAAAATTGCATCCAAAGCACCCCTGGCAGATGGCCATCCAGCCTCTGTTTAAAAACCTCCAAAGAAGGAGCCTCCACCACACTCTGGGGCAGAGAGTTCCACTGCTGAACAGCTCTCACAGTCAGGAAGTTCTTCCTCATGTTCAGGTGGAATCTCCTTTCTTGTATTTTGAAGCCATTGTTCCGCGTCCCAGTCTCCAGGGCAGCAGAAAACAAGTTTGCTCCCTCCTCCCTCTGACTTCCTCTCACATATTTATACATAGCTATCATGTCTCCTCTCAGCCTTCTCTTCTTCAGGCTAAACATGCCCAGCTCTTTAAGCCGCTCCTCATAGGGCTTGTTCTCCAGAGGCTTGATCACTTTAGTCGCCCTCTTCTGGACACATTCCAGCTTGTCAATATCTCCCTTCAGTTGTGGTGCTCAGAATTGGACACAGTATTCCAGGTGTGGTCTAAGAAAGGCAGAATAGAGCATGGGGAGCATGACTTCCCTGGATCTCGTGCACCTTGCTGACTTTTTTCACCCCGGTGCCACTTTTTTTTTTTTGCCTGCCAGAGTGAAAAGCAGGCAAGAGGACATTGGGACTTCCTTGAATGCCTCTCACCTGTGGGGGAGGGGGGGAGGGGGCAAGGCGGGTGCTGCAATGGGGATCTCCCCCGGGGGAAGCAGGTGGCCGGCTCGGGCAACCTCAAAAGCCAATCGGGAGCCCTTTAGCAACAAGGAAGAAGGCGCGCCCTTGGCTCCCTGCACTTGACTGGTAGCGAGAGTTGCAGGCTGGGGCGAGGACGCGCGCGGGGTGGGGGGGGGGGGAGGATGGGGAGGCATAAATTGGGCTCAGGAGCCCGCCAGCCCCACTTTCACGCCGAGAGGAGAAAGCCAGCGTTTTGCCACCGCCGAAACCTGCGTGGCGCGAAAGGGGGGATGCTGCTGCTGCTCCTCTTGCTGAGCGCGGCGCTGACTTTGGGAGAAGCCCAGCCGGTAAGCCAAGCCTTCTACTCCCTGCAGGCTTTCCCTGCCGGCTTTTGCGCCTTCGAGTGTCCTTTTTCTCGAGTGGCTCTCACACACAGCCCTGGCATCCACGAGGGCAGACGCGCTATTGAATGAATGCAGCTCCACAACACTTGATCTGCGCGCCGGCCTCATCACACTAGAGAGAAAAAAATCCACTTAAAATTCGATTGCTGCCTTCTGCAGAATTCTGGGGTTTGTAGTTTAGGGAGGAGCCTTTCACAGCCACACTAAACTACAAACCCCAGAATTCTGCATGAGGCAGAAACTGGATGTTAAGTGGATTTTTTTCTCTAGTGATGAATTCCCCCGGCATCACGGGGGTTGTCTCTTGGCAAGGTCTTTCGCCTTCCCTGCCAAAGAGCCCTGGTGCCTCATCCAACCACAACTCCCAGGATCCCATATCATAGAGCCCAGGGAGGCAAAGCGAAGTCAAGCCGCATGCAGAGGAAATATTCAAGGTGCCTCAGGTCGCAGGTTCGAATCCGGGGAGAGCGCTGATGAGCTCCCTCTGTCAGCTCCGGCTCCCCATGCAGGGACATGGGAGAAGCCTCCCATAAGGATGGTGAAACCTCAAAAACATCCGGGCGTCCCCTGGGGAACCTCCTTGCAAACGGCCAATTCTCTCACACCAGAAGTGACTTGCATTTCTCAAGTCGCTCCTGACACGATATAGCATCTATTGTGAGCCTGCTTTCCAAATAGGCATCAACCAGATCATCCCCAAATCTATTTACCCCCAAAGAGATTCTGAAAAATTGGAAACTCTTTATGGACTTTCGGAGCAAGGGGAAATCAATGGTTATGGTTATTAGTAAATAGCTTGGTTATTTAGTTTGATCTGTAGCAGTAGAAGAATATTTTTTGTATGTGTTGTCGAAGGCTTTCATGGCCAGAATCACTGGGTTGCTGTGAGTTTTCTGGGCTGTATGGCCATGTTATGGAGGCATTCTCTCCTGACATTTCACTCACTTCTATGGCAGGCATCCTCAGAGGTTGAGAGGTCTGATGGAAACTAAGTAAGTGAGGTTTATATCCACAGATAGATAAATAGATAGATAGGAAGTATGGTACAGCAATCTGCATTTATGAAATGATCTCTCTGCTTGTTGAAGCTTTCTCCCATCCCCTGGTATTTGTTTGGGGTGAGATAGATCTATAGACTACTAGCTGTGCCCTGCCACGCGTTGCTGTGGCCTATAGTAAAACTTATCAAAGTTGAGGTAGATATCTGGACTATTATGAAAGAGAGGTACCTACCTATTCCTTCCCCCTTTTCCTCCCCCTTTCTCTCCTTTCTTCCTTCTCTACCTCTTTCTTTCTTTCCTTCTTTCACTACTTGGTTTCATCCTTCTCTCTTTCCTTCATTCCCTCCCCCTTTCTTCCTTTGCCTTTCTTCCCTCCCTGTTTGCTTCCTTCACTTTTTATTTCCTTTTATTTCACCACCATCATAACAATAACAATAATGCAATGCATTGCCTCTGGGACCTGACACCTCTCCCATTCCCCCTAAAAGGGTCTCATAGGAAGAATAGCATCATAATAATAATAGAAATAACAACCTTTACCCGCCACGTGTTGCTGTGGCCAATCTTCCCTCTTTCTCTCCTTCTTTCCCTCCTCTCCCTCCTCCTTCCTTCCTTCCTTCCTTCCTTCCTTCCTTCCTTCCTTCCTTCCTTCCTTCCATCTTTCCTTCTCCTCTTCTTTCTCTATCTCTTTCCTTCCTTCCCCCTTTTTCTTTCTCTTCTGGTCTCTTTTCTTCCTTCTCTCTTTTTTCTTCCTTCTTTCTCTAACTTTCCTTCCTTCTCCCTTTTTCTTTACCTCCCTTTCTCTTTCTTCCTTCTTTCCTTCCTTCCTGTCTTTCCTAGATTTTGACAGGGCGGGAAGGGGCGGGGTGGGGTTTGGAGGTGGCCTGAAGTAAAAGGAGGTAAGATTGGGGCAGGGGAGTGATGGAGCGTGGGGTTGCGTGTGTGTGTGCGGCGGTGGGGGGAGTGATGGAGCCTGGGGTTGCGTGTGTGTGTGCGGCGGCGGGGGGGGGGGGGTTGCGTGTGTGTGTGCGGCGGCGGGGGGAGTGGGGGTGTGTGTGTGTGCGTGGGGGGTGATGGAGCGTGGGGTTGCGTGTGTGTGTGCGGCGGCGGGGGGAGTGATGGAGCGTGGGGTTGCGTGTGTGTGTGCGGCAGGGTGTGTGTGTGTGTTTGTGCGGGAAGCGGCGCGGCGGGGCTTGGAGTGGGCATGGTTTCCGCAGAGGGAACGTTGGCCGGAAGGCCATGTGCGCGCGCGATGGAACTTGCGGCTGGGCGCCAATGCGCATGCTCAGTTGTTTTGCCGTTTTGTGAGTGTGTTGTGTTGTTTTTCATTTTGAGTAGATATGTTTGTACCTTGTGGGTTGTGTTATGGGCATGGGAATTTTGGTTAAGTTTCGTTGGGGTTTTTTTGAGTTTTGTTCTTTTGCCGTTTTGTGAGTGTGTTGCTGTGTTGTTTTTCATTTTGAGTAGATATGTTTGTACCTTGTGGGTTGTGTTATGGGCACGGGGATTTTAGTTAAGTTTCGTTGGGGGATTTTTGAGTTTTGTTGTTTTGCCGTTTTGTGAGTGTGTTGTTGTGTTGTTTTTCATTTTGAGTAGGTATGTTTGTACCTTGTGGGTTGTGTTATGGGCACGGGGATTTTGGTTAAGTTTCGTTGGGGGATTTTTGAGTTTTGTTGTTTTGCCGTTTTGTGAGTGTGTTGTTGTGTTTTTTTTCATTTTGAGTAGATATGTTTGTACCTTGTGGGTTGTGTTATGGGCATGGGGATTTTGGTTAAGTTTCGTTGGGGTTTTTTGAGTTTTGTTGTTTTGCCGTTTTGTGAGTGTGTTGTTGTGTTGTTTTTCATTTTGAGTAGATATGTTTATACCTTGTGGGTTGTGTTATGGGTACGGGGATTTTGGTTAAGTTTCGTTGGGGGATTTTTGAGTTTTGTTGTTTTGCCGTTTTATGAGTGTGTTGCTGCGTTGTTTTTCATTTTGAGTAGATATGTTTGTACCTTGTTGGTTGTGTTATGGGCACGGGGATTTTAGTTAAGTTTCGTTGGGGGATTTTTGAGTTTTGTTGTTTTGCCGTTTTGTGAGTGTGTTGTTGTGTTGTTTTTCATTTTGAGTAGGTATGTTTGTACCTTGTGGGTTGTTTTATGGGCACGGGGATTTTGGTTAAGTTTCGTTGGGAGATTTTTGAGTTTTGTTGTTTTGCCGTTTTGTGAGTGTGTTGTTTTGTTGTTTTTCATTTTGAGTAGATATGTTTGTACCTTGTGGGTTGTGTTATGGGCACGGGATTTTGGTTAAGTTTCGTTGGGGGATTTTTGAGTTTTGTTGTTTTGCCGTTTTGTGAGTGTGTTGTTGTGTTGTTTTTCATTTTGAGTAGATATGTTTGTACCTTGTGGGTTGTGTTATGGGCACAGGGAGTTTTGGTTAAGTTTCGTTGGGGGATTTTTGAGTTTTGTTGTTTTGCCGTTTTGTGAGTGTGTTGTTGTGTTGTTTTTCATTTTGAGTAGATATGTTTGTACCTTGTGGGTTGTGTTATGGGCACGGGATTTTTGGTTAAGTTTCGTTGGGGTTTTTGAGTTTTGTTGTTTTGCCGTTTTGTGAGTGTGTTGTTGTGTTGTTTTTCATTTTGAGTAGATATGTTTGTACCTTGTGGGTTGTGTTATGGGCACGGGATTTTAGTTAAGTTTCGTTGGGGGATTTTTGAGTTTTGTTGTTTTGCCGTTTTGTGAGTGTGTTGTTGTGTTGTTTTTCATTTTGAGTAGATATGTTTGTACCTTGTGGGTTGTGTTATGGGCACAGGATTTTGGTTAAGTTTCGTTGGGGGATTTTTGAGTTTTGTTGTTTTGCCGTTTTGTGAGTGTGTTGTTGTGTTGTTTTTCATTTTGAGTAGATATGTTTGTACCTTGTGGGTTGTGTTATGGGCACGGGGATTTTGGTTAAGTTTCGTTGGGGGATTTTTGAGTTTTGTTGTTTTGCCGTTTTGTGAGTGTGTTGTTGTGTTGTTTTTCATTTTGAGTAGATATGTTTGTACCTTGTGGGTTGTGTTATGGGCATGGGAATTTTGGTTAAGTTTCGTTGGGGGTTTTTTGAGTTTTGTTTCCTCGTTGGATGCCCCTAACAAATTTATATATATAGATTGTTGGACATTGCTGGAAAGCAGCAGCTTTACTGGTGTCTGTGGTGGGGTGAGAGAGACCCACAGACTTTTGCTAGTTGGTGCTGGAGGAAAATGCCTATCACTATGTCTTATTTTTGGGGTATGGCTTATACTGCGCAAATGCGTAGAAATCCTGCTATGGCTTATTTTATGGGTATGTCTTATTTTAAGGGAAACAGGGTATCTGTGGAATGTCCAGAGTGGGAGAAAGAACTCTTGTCTGCTTGAGGCAAGTGTGAATGTTGCAATTGATCACCTTGATTGAATAGCCTTAGACATTTTTTAGTATTTTTTTTCTTCTGTCATATTTTGGACTTGGGGGGGAGAGGGGTCAAAGTCTTTTTGTGTTTTGGTTTACCCCCCAAAATGCTTTTATTCCTGCTGTGGCATTCTTTCTGCTTTGCATACCACAAGAAACATTGATCCTTTGTTGTCATGTAGTGAAATACCAGTAACATAACTAACCGACTCTTTTGCATTCTCCCAAGAGAACAACTCGAACCTGCTTTATCTGGAACGTACAGGCTTCTGCTTATTCTTAAAGGTGTATACTTCTGCAACCACAAATTCTACCATCCATGGCTTGAAAATATATATATTTTTAAATTTCACAAATGCAAACCTTGATTTTGCCATTTTATTTGAGGAACACCATTGTACCACCTCATTGTATATAATACGATTTGAGCATCCATAGATTTAGGTATCTATGGTGGATCCTGCAACCAAACCAAGATCCTGATACCAAGAACTCACTGTAAAATGTACCCTGTGTAAAAAATAAATAAAAAGAA